CTGTCTTCTGAACGTTGGATTTAGAAATATGATTGCGATCAGGATATGTAGCATTGAATAGATCAGCTACTTCTTGATATGATCTAATGCGGTCTCCAAATCCTCGATAAATAAGCAGCATTATTTTTCTTTTTCGGTCAACATTTTCGAAAAAGAAATTTGAATCTGTAATTGGAAAAAGAAAGAGAAAAGACAGAGTGAGATACGAGAGAACGCGACTCGTTTTTTAAAATACAAAGATCGAGTAGCGTTATTGAGAAGCGCGGGTATGCGCGAATTTCGAATGAGTACGTACATGGTTTCAAAATAAATTTATTTTTAATGAAAAGTTGATTTCGAAAGATATGTTTGGCTTAGAAAATTGTTGAAAATTGTGTTAAACGGGATGCTCAGTATCGATATTTGTACTAAAAAAATTTTAATAAAAAATGTTTAATATAACGGATATTAATAAAAAAATATTAATAAAAATATTAATAAAAATTAATACAGCGAAACAATAAAACATCTTATTTAAAAATACTGACACTGCTGTAAGAACGTTGCCACACTATAATGCGTTTTTACTACGAGTATAGATTCGCGGAACATCTTGAAAATATCTTTTCCTTAAATATCGGAATAGAATTACTGTTAGTGACGATAGCAATAAGTATTACATTATTTCAAGTACGTACCTAATTTTAGGAAATATTTACGATATTTTTATACCTTTAATCTTGGTGTAGTACAATGCTTGGAATTAGATGCACATTTCGATGTGATGAGTTTATCGATGCATGCGATAACAATCCAATTCCGTCACTGATGCAGTGACGTGTCACCGATTACGGTTCTAATTATAATCAGGTTAATAAAATCAGATTTACGAAATATTACGTTTGCCTTTTTTGAGGTTACGTTGCGATCAGGCGACACCGTGGAAGCCATGAGATATGTACTTTATGTATTAGCACAAATGATTCATTTATTCATATTTTGTTGGAAAGGCCAAAGATTGATAGATCACAGTTTGCTAATGCGT